ACCAGGTGCTTAACTCCCCTGGGCAATTCCAGTGGCCTCTCCATACCCTATCACCTGTGTTGCAGAGCCTGCCTGCCTCCTCCCTGAGGAGGTGCTGGTTTGTGCAGGCCGAGATGGTGTGCCTTCCGCTGGTCTGCAGGCTGGCTGGAGGCAGGCCCCTCTTAAACTGCAGTGCCTCTGTAGGCTGGAAGTAGGCAGTTAACGGGCCCCAAAGATATTAGGTCCTCTGAAAATTACTGCAGGAGGGAAGTCTTGGCAGATGCGATTAAATGAAGGATTTTGAGATGGGGAAATCATCCTGGATTATCTTGGTGGGCCCTAAATGTAATCACAAGTGTGCTTGTAAGAGAGGCAGAGGAGAAGAGGAGAGAGCAATGTGACCATGCAGGCAGAGACTGGAGTGGTGTGGCCGTAAGACACAGAAGGCTGGCAGCCACCGGAAGCTGGAAGATGCAAGGAACGGTCCCTGGGAGCCTCCAGAGGGTGCTCTGCCCTGCGGACACCTTGCTTTCAATTCAGTGATTTTGATTTTGGACTTTTGGCCTTTTGAACTGTGAGAGAATAAATTTCTGCTGCTTTAAGTCACCAAATGTGTGGTACTTTGTTACAGCAGGCACAGGAAAGTAATAAGGGCCCCTAGGAAATTCTTGTCCTTATTCAAGGCTTCTGTGATTGTGCCAAGCCCCTCTCTCCCTCCTACTGTCCTCACTGACACCACCCGTGAGACCTGTGAGTTCACATGTGGATCTGTCTCCCCGTCTCTCTTGCTGCTCGCCACATTGCCATCTGATCACCTAGCCACTCTCTGTCCTTCTAACCTCTTCTCTTTCCATACAGCCACCATTCATTCAGCTAGTCTTCCCCCAGCTCCTGTCTTCTCTTTCTTTCTCTCCTGCATCGGCAGTGGTAGGGCAGGAGGTGGACGGCTTTGCCCCAGCGGGAACAGCGTCTTGGTGGTGGCCGTGCAGCCGCTGGAGTGGGGCTGCCTGGGAGCTTGCTTCGTTGCCAGACACTTTTGCCTTGGTGGCCCTCTCCTTCAAAAAAATTTTTAATTATATTTTATATCCACACTGGTAGAAAGAGGACCATAATCTAGGCTTGATTCTTTAGTAAATGTTCATTATTGTTACACTTAATTTTTCTCTCAATTTTAAAAGGAACTAAAATGAAAACATTTCTGTGGGCCCCGGGTGCCACGCCTGCTCTGCTCAGTGGAGAAGTTGGCCCTGTGCTGGAGATGCAGCTCCGCGAGGGAAACCAAAATCGGGACCACAGCCAGCCTTCCTCTGGCATCTGGAGCAGCCGTAGGAAGTCCCGAGCCTGGGCAGGCCGTGGTCAGTCTGCAGCCCTGGTTCTCGGCCAGCTGCACCTCTTGCTTGTTCTGTGATCCTAGACAAGCTACTTCACCTCTCTGAGCCACTTCCCTCATTTGTAAAATGTGAATAATCACTGTCCTGTCTATCACACTTTGTGACCTTGGACAAATAAATGAGGCTCTCTGCCCTGTTTCTTGGTGTATGAGGTCAAGTAAGGAGAGGAACTGCTCCAATACTGAGGGTTTCTGCCGCCTGTGGTCTTTGGGAGGAGAGGGGAGATGGTTGGGCTGCTTGCCTATCCTAGACTCAATAGTCGAGTCAGGTAGCTTCTCTGTGCTTCCAGACCAAAGCTTCCCCATCACACCCTGCGTGGTGGTGGAATGAGCTATATACCCGTCTGCCTCCCCCATGACTCTGACACTCGTGCCAGGGACGGCTCTGCAGTATGTGCTCAGCCGAATGCATGAATGAGGGCAAAGCCTCCAGCTGCCTCCCTTCAGCCAAGGCAGCCTCCACCTCCTCCTCTTTGCAGTCAGCATAGGCAGGCATCGGTCAGCAGCCAGGGTGTCTGGCGTCAGTCATTTACCCCTCACAGGAGGTTGTGGGTGGGGAGCTATGACTTTACTGTTGGGCTTCCTGGCTGCAGGAACACGTTTGGCAGCTTTCAGGGGTGGTAACCTCAGAGGATCTTTGTGTCTCCCCACCCCCCAGGGGCTGTTTCTTTGCCTCCTTGTGGATCTGTGGCTCCCTATTCCACCCCACCCAGTCTGGCAGCAGAGTTCCATACTTACAGGATCTTTTATCCCAAGTGCTCAGAGCTCCATCACCAGGGACAAGCGCTGTTAAGCCTGTTTTACGGAAGGGGAACCCCAATCTAAGATGGGAAAGGCTGCTAAGATCCAGGTTACTAAACAGGCCAGCGGGAAAATGGGTCCCTGGCTGAGATGGACATTCCCAGCCAGGCTCTTATAAGCCTTAGTCATCTCTGCCCCTCATGCCTATTACAGTGTCTGGCTCCTAATAAATGCTCAATAAATATACATCAACTAACTGCCTGACTGGGGTTCCCAGTCTTCAAACACCTTGCTCCCTAGCATGACCTCAGAAGCCAGCCACCCCAAAGGCCCTGTGGGCCCCACTTACCCTGCCCAGAGTTCAGCCCTCCTCACCCTCACCCCAGGGCCCCTTCCACCCCTGCACCTTTGCTCAGGCTGGGCCCTGGCCTGGAATGTCTTTTCCCTGTTTTTCCACCTGATGAAATTCTACTAATTTTTCAAGGATTGACTCAAATATCACTTTTCCCACAAAGGTTTGCTTCCACGGCTCCCGCACCATGTCCCCATGCTCTGTGCATCTGCCTGTCTGTGCACTACTCACACTGTGTTCCGGAACAGAAGCAGCAGTCACCCACAGTATGCAGGGCTATCGTGAGGATTAGACGGGCTTTTCCCTGTCCCGCTCACGCAGCATCTGGCTGCATGGAGGAATGGCCTGCCTGGGCTGTCTGGTCAGCAGGAAGGTCAGGGGCAGTGCTGGGGCTCTGGGGCCACTCCGTCAGAACTCATGGGCTGGCAGGGAGGGACCTGCTCAATATG